CAAATCAGCCCAGTAGATACCGAAATATCTTTAAAAAACATGTCAACAACTATATAAAAATACTATGTAAACAATACATTGTTTATATAGAAATTTTACATAGTTATTGACACATTTTTTAAAGAGATTTTGGCATTTACTAGGCCGATTTGGATGATTTAACTACTATTAGAACTGCAAAGACAAGCTTAATTAATTGACTTTGTTAATTAACTTAGTACAAATAAAAGTTTTATTTAAACAAACACCATATTCACTCTATAATAAATTTATATAGTGATCTGCATCATGTTATACTAAAATCATGCACCTGTTGAGTAACGGATTATCAATTAAGTATTCAATTTCAAAGTCAAATTGATATTAAAAAAAAGAACTAATAGATAAATACAAATAAGATAGAAAAGAATTTGCTTTATATTTATTAGTTTTTAAACTTACAAAGAAAGTTTATTTATCAAAACAAAACAATTTAAAAAAAGATTATTTTGATCATAATTAACCAGTTAGCAAATTTAAAGAAGAAAAGAATAAAACATTTGAAGAATGTACGAAGTAGAAAGCTATTGAGGAAGCAAATATTATATTAGATAAACTTATTTTTGTTTGTTTTTAAGAAGGATATGAAGAATTTCCAAACAGAAAAGAATGTCTATATAGAATAGCAATTTATTTTTCTATCATAAAAAAGAAGATAGTACTTGAGCAAACAGAGCCAAATAAAAATGAAAAATAAATTGTATATGATTTAAAAAAATTACCAAATTTTAAGCTTATACTATTTGTAGAAACAAATCTTAAACAAATTATAAAAGCAATTCAATTTAGATTTAAAAGAATGTTAAAGAAACATAAAAAAGTTAACCATTCTAATGAAAATAATATTAATAATAGTTCTAGTGTTAGTAGCTCTAATCATGAATCAATTAGTAATATAGATTCAATTGTTAAAGAAAATTAATTTTTTTATCATTTATTAATATTATTTTATTTTAATATTTAGTTTAATTTTAATAATTTTATTTATTTTATCAATTACTTTGACAATTGTGACAAATTAAAATAAAATCAGATTAAAATAAAATTTTAATATTTTTTAGGGACAATTTAAAAAATTTTGGGAGATATTTTTTAGAGTTAGGGTTAGAGTTAGGGTTAGGGTTTAGTATTAAATTTATTAAAAAAAGAGTATAAGTAGATTTTATAAGCTTTAAAGGGGAGCGAGAAAGGTTCCCTATTTCATTTTAATCTGATTTTATTTTAATCTGCAACAATAATTAATAATTTATTATTTATATTTATTAAAATAACAAGAATATACATGCCACTGAAATTGATTTTTAAAAAAAGCCTATTTCGAATTTTCAAAAATAAATTAAAATTTTTTATAAAGAAGTACAAGTAAAATTTATATATTTATGTTCTTTATATTTTGGTCTATTCAAAAAAAGTATCAAAAAATTTCGGGTTTAAGTAAAATAGGTCAAAAACAATTTCGAGAAAAAATTTTAATTTTGCGGCATGTATAAACAAGAAATGTCTAAAGAAACAGAATTATAAAAAGTAAGTTGGCAATGTTATTTTACTTAATATTTATTATTTTGAGTACATGCTTATCAAGAAATCTAGAAATAATTTATTATGAAGATATTTTTTATTCGATTTTGGGAACTTGACTTAAAATTTATATTATATTATAAAAATGCTGCAGCTTACAAATATAGATGAAATTAACTCTCCCCGACGATTACTTGGACCACCCCCCCACAGAAAGG